TAACTTTCCGTTGTAAGCTTGATACAGGAAGCTTAGCTCATTGTTATGTTTACCTTTTTCTAAGTTGAGATCAGTCTGTGCCACTTTTTCTCTGTGTGATCTTGGCTAAGGATCTTAGCCTCATTGAAACTCAATTGTTTTATCAGTACAATGGGCCTATAACACCTTACATATAGTGTGCAGGAGATAAAAATAAGAACTCTGTGAACTGTGAAGTTCTGTTTAGCACTACAGGAGTCCCTGTGGTACAAACGGTTAAAAAGCAAACCAAATCCACAGCCATCGAGTCAGTTCCGACTCATAGTGACCCCCATCGGGTTTCTGAGGCAATAAATCTTTAAGGAAGTAGATTGCCCAAGTCTTGCTTCTGCAGAGTGGCTGATGGATTTGAACCACTAGCCTTCCACTTACCAGCCAGATGCCTTAGGCACTGTGTTACCAGAGCTCCTTGGCACAAATGGTTAAGCATTCCACTACTAGCTGAAAAGTTTACTCTTTGAGCTACTCAGAGGCTCCTCAAAAGACAGCCTGGGTATCTGCTTCTGAAAGGTCACAGCCTGAAACCCTGTGGGGTAGTTCTACTCTGCACACATGGGGTCACCATGAGTTGAAACTGACTCAACAACATTAACACTAAGCTAATTATTTGAGTTATATTGTTCTCCCAAGAGACAAACTTATTATCCTTATGTTTTCTTAAATCTAGTCAGTGGAAAGTGTCTGCAGCAGATTTACCTGATGTAATACTGCATTTGATTTCTTGACTGCTGCTTCCGTGGCCGTTGATTGAGGATCCAAGTAAAATGAAAACCTTGACACTTCAGTATTTTCTCTGTTTATCATGATGTTGTTTATTGGCCCAGTTGTGAGGATTTTTATTTTCTTTATGTTGAGTTATAATACATATTGAAGGTTGTAGTTTTGTTTTTTTCATTTTTGTTGTAATTTAGGTGAAAGTTTACAGAGCAAATTCGTCTTCCATACAGCAGTTCATACACATTTTGTTTCCTGACATTGACAGCAATTGCCCACAATGTAATAGCTCTCTTCCCACTTCCTCCCTGTAGTTAACTCTTCTCTGTGTCCTTCCCTCCCATGTACTCCTGCTCCTCAAGCTATCTCCCTGCACAAACATTGCCCTTCTGTTCTCTCACGATTGCTCTAAGGAGTGTATCTACTTGATCTAAATGTTCACCCCATATGCCTGTCTGTTGTTTAGCTGGAAGCCACAGGGGTGAGTTCAGTTCTAGACCTGAAGGGTAACTAGGGGCCATAGTCTCAGGGGTCTCACCAGGCTCTATTAGAAGAGTAAACCTGGTCTTTTTTTAAAAAAATGATTTTGTGTTTTGTTCTACATTGTTCTCCCACTCTGTGCTGGATCTCCTGCACTGATCCCTTTCCACGTGGTTGATAGTGGTAGTCGGTACCATCTAGTTCTTCTGGTCTCATGGTCATATAGGCTAAGGATTGCATGGTCTACTCGTCCCTTGGACTAATTGTTTCCATGCATCTTTGGTCTTCTTCATTCTTCTTTGTCCTGGATGAGGAGAGACACATGGTTGTATCTAGATGGCTGCTTGCAAGTTTTTAAGACACCAGTCACTGAAAGTTACAGATTTTGATCTTTATCAGTAAGTCCTTCAAGTGCTCTTCGCTTTCAGCAAGCGAGGTGTGTCATTTGCATATCACAGGTTGTTAAAGAGTCTTCCTCCAATCCTAATGCCACATTCTTTTTCATATAGTCCAGCTTCTTGAATTGTTTGCTCAGCATACAGATTGAATAACTAGGGTGAAAGAATGCAACCTGGGCCACACCTTTCCTGATTTTAAACCACACAGTTTCTCCTTGCTCTGTTTGAATGACTGCCTCTTGTTCTATGTACAGGTTCCTCATGAGTACAGTAAAGTGTTCTGGAATTCCCATTCTTCACAATGTTCTCTGTAATTTGTAATGATCCACATAGTCAAATACCTTTGCCTAGTCAATAAAACACACAGGTAAATATCCTTCTGGTATTCTCTGCTTTCAGCCAACATCCATCTAACTTCAGCAGTGATATCCTTTGTTCCACATCCTCTTCTGAATCTGGCTTGAATTTCTGGCGGTTATCTGTCAGTGTACTGCTGCAACTGTTTTTGAGTCATCTTTAGCAAAATTTCACTTGTGTGTGATGTTAATGTTATTGTTCTATAATCTTTGCATTCTGTTGGTTCACCTTTCTTTGGAATAGGCACATATATGGACCTCTTCATTGGCCAGATAGCTGTATTCCCAATTTCTTGACAAGTGAATGATTCAAGCATTCCATCTGTTTGTTGAAATCTCTCTATTGGTATTTTTCAATTCCTGCAATCTTGTTTTTTGCCAATGCCTTCAGTGCAACCTGAACTTCTTTATTTAGTACCATTGGTTCTAGATCACATCCTACCTATTGAAATAGTTAAACATTGACCGATTCTTTTTGGTACAGTGACTGTGTATTCTGTCCATCTTCTTTTGATGCTTTATACATCATTCAGTATTTGCCCATAGATTCCTTCAGTATGGCAACATGAGGCTTGTATTTTTTCTTCATTTCTTTCAGTTTGAGAAATGCTAAGTGAATTCTCCCCTTTTGGTTTTCTAACTCCAGGTCTTTCCACATTTCATTATAATGCTTTACTTTGTCTCCTCGAGCCAGATCTTGCAATTTCTGTTCAACTCTTTTATCTCATCATTTCTTCCATTTGCTTTAGCTATTCTGAGTTCAACAGCAAGTCCCAGTCTCTTCTGACATCCATTTTGGTCTTTTCTTCCTTTCCTATGTTTTTAATGACCTTTTGCTTTCTTCATATATGATATCCTTGATGTCATCCCTCAACTCATCTGGTGCATCAAATCTGCTGTTGAGATGGTCTCTAAATTCAGGTGGTCTATATTCAAGACTATATTTTGGCTCTCTTTTGGACTTGTTAAAATTTTCTTCAACTTCAGCTTGAACTTGCTTATGAACAATTGATGTTCTGTTCTGCAGTCAGCCCTTGGCCTTGTTCTGATTGATGACACTGAGCTTGTCCAGCTTGTCCATCATCTCTTTCCACACATGTAGTTGATTTGATTCCTATGTATTCCATCTGGCGAGGTTTACATGTATAGTCTCCGTTTATGTTGCTGGAAAAAGGTATTTGTAGTGAATAAGTCATTAGTCTTGCCAAATTCTATCGTGTGATCCCCAGCATTGTTTCAATCACAAATAACTTATTTTCCAGGGACGTAGAATGATTAATAATCAAAGGTGGTAAAATATTCAGAGACACTCGGCTTCAAGTATAAATTTAGTTTATATTTCATTGCCTGGCTTCTCTTCTTATGTGTGGATCATAAGAAATTATAGATAACATTGGCAAAAATTGGAATTCCAGAACACTTAATTGTTATTATGTGGGACTTGTACATAGACCACATGGCAGTCATTCAAACAGAACAAGGGGATACTTAGTGGTTTAAAATCAGGAAAAGTATGTGTCTGGGTTGTATCCTTTCACCATATTTATTCACTCTGTATGCTGAGCTAATAATCTGAAAAGCTGGACTATGTGAAGAATGTGGCACCAGGATTGGATGGAGACCCATTAACAACTTGCGATATGCAGATGATATAACCTTGCTTGCTGAAAGTGAAAAAGAAGCAGTTATTGATGAAGATCAAAGATTGCAATCTTCAGTATGGATTACACCTCAACATAAAAGAAAGAAAAATCTCACAACTGAACTAATAAGCAACATCATGATAAATGGAGAAAATATTGAAGTTGTCAAGGATTTCGTTTTATTTGGATCTACCATCAATGCCCATAGAAGCAGCAGTCGAAAAGCAAATGATGTATTGCAATTGGCAAATCTGCTGCAACAGATCTCTTTTAAGTGTTAAAAAGGAAAGATGTCACTTTGAAGACTAAGGTGGTCCTACCTCAAGCCATCTTACTTTCAATCACCACATGTGCATGTGGAAGCTAGACAATAAATATGGGGGACTGCAGAGGAACTGAAGCCTTTGAATTGTGGTGTTGGTGAAGAATACTGAAAATACCATGGACTAGCAGAAGAATGATCAGATCTGTTTTGGAAGAAGTGCAGCCAGAATGCTCCTTAGAAGTCAGGATTGTGAGACTTTGTCTCGTGTACTTTGGACATGTTATTAGGAGGAAGCAGGCCCTGGAGCAGGACATCATGCTTGATTAAGTAAGGAGTCAATGAAAAGAGGAAGACCCTCAGTGAGATGGATTGACATGGGGGCTGCAACAACAGGCTCAAACACAGCAACAATTGTGAGGATGCTCCGGGACTGGGCAGTGTTTCGTTCTATTGTACTTAGGGTCACTATGAGTTGGAACTCACTTGACAGCACCTAACAACAAAATTAGACCATGTATACACTAACCAAAAGAAGCTGATGTGGCTATAGTAATATCAGGCAAAGTAGACTTTAAAACAAACAAACAAAATTATAAGAGGTAAAGGAGAATATTTGTAATGAATGAAGGGGTCAAAACACTGGGAAAATATAACAATTCTAAATTTGTATGCACCTGAAAATATAATTCAAAAATATAAAGCAAAAACTGATAGATACTTAAAATTTGTTGATGTATAACAAACAGAAAAGTATACAGATCAATAAACTGTATCGATTAAGTTATTAATCAATAACTCATTATTATTAAGCTCATTAAGTTATTGCAAAATGAGCATTCCAGTATACCCAAGATATCTAACGTTATTAGCTCCTCAGAAGACCCTCTTGTGATCTTTCCCAATTACTGTTCCTGTCCTATTCTCCAAAGTCCAACTATTTTGACTCCTAATACCAGGTATCTTTGCTTGTTTTTAAACTCTGCATGATAGAATCATCAAGGAGTATTCTTTTGTAGTTGACTTATTTCATTAACATTGTATTTGTTACATATGTTTTTAAACATCTGCTAAGTATTAACTTGCTGTTATTTTCTTACTGTTTCAGATGTTTTTGAAAATAATTACGACAGCTTACGTATACTAAATGTTGAAAGAAATGGAAATATTATTTATACCTATAAGGTATGTCTATATTCTTTTTTGACATAGTAATGAGTAAATTTTGTGCTTTAAACTTTAACATGTGATTTTGGTTCTTTTTGGTAAGATTTAATATGGTGAGTGAAATATGAGGACTGAAATTTTATAAAATGTTTTCTCTTTTTTAAATAAAATGTGCATAATATCTAACACAGTGCTCAAAACTTTTTAAATAAATAAAAATTGCATTTGTTAGAGTTAAACTGCTAAGTAAGATATTTTTAAATGAAATTAATATGTGAAAGTTTTAGCTTTGAAAATCTTAAATATCATTACTCTTATTTATGGGAGCTCTGGTGGTATAGTGCCTAAGGCACTTGACTGCTAATCAGAAGGTTGGCAGTTCAAACCCACCAGCCACTCTTCAGAAGGAAGGTTGGCCAATCTACTTCCGTAGTGATACCACCTCGGAAACCCAAGGAGGGGTTGCCATGAGATAACTCGACGTCACCCAACAACAATAAAGTTATTTATTGAGATAGACTAAAGATGTGCTGGGAATTTTGAGATATTAGTGTTTAACAATGTGCTTTCAAAGTTAAATGTTCTAAGAAAAAAATCTAACTTTATTGATAATGCTACTATATTAGGGAAACTTGAAAAAATAATTTAAAAATTCACTTTACTTTGCAAAGTTGTATCACTGTACTTTTTATTGGTAAAAAGTTCTATTATTTTAAATGATATCTAAGGATGCTGCATTTTAAAAATCATATGATTCAAAAGTTTGACTTATAAGAATATCATGGACTGGTTCTAACCATTTCTAGTATCCACTGTATAAATTTTCTTCACGTGCAAATGGAGGTACAAAAAAATCTACTCGTTCACCATGCTGAGTTCTAGTACAGGATCCTAAAAACGTGGCCAGGATCCTGCACATTCGTTTCAATTTTTAAGTCTGGTTCCTTTCTGACATGTACAGCAGGCTACCTTTAGAGTGTTTATTGCTAAGATTGGTTGAATTATTGGAAGTTTTTGTTTTGTTTTAACTAATAACATCTCAACTTCTTGAACAATGATATTTAATGAACATTTGGTTAAATTTTTCTTTCAGGATGATAAGGGAAATGTCTTCTTTGGATTATATGATTACCAAACCAGACAAAATGAGGTAAAAAAATCACCATAAACCATAGATAACTTTCTGGTTACTTTACTGCTTTTAGATCTTTCCTTTTTTCTGCCCTTCCTTTTCCCAGATATAAATCCCTATTTTATTTTCTAAAAATGTGGTGTATAGTGCATTGTCTGCCTTCTTTTCTTCCTTTTATTATCTCTTGGCATCACCATCTTAAAAAAATTTTAAAAAATTTTTTAAAGGTACAAAGACTCCTCCTGGACCAAAACAGAAATTCACATTTAACTAAAGTATCTGCTGAAGTCTCTTAATCCTTTGAGAGTTAAATAAAATAAGATCAAACCAGTTATCCAATATTCTGTAGGAATATAGGAGGTCCAATGCGCTTCCCAAGATATGTGTGCTCCCGAGAGCTTTGTTGATGGGAGTGGGAGTGGGGCTGTAGTAGGTGGTTATTGTTTACAATTTTTTTTGCCTTGCTCGTTTTCCCCTTTCCTCCTCCTTTGGCTAGAGAGAGTAGGTAATTGTTGGGGCATTTTCTTGTTGCTGTTGTTGATTGCTGTTGCCGTTTCCAGGTTATTTGCTTCTTTAGCTCCAATCCTGGGATATATGAAACGAAAGGGAAACCCAGGGAACTCACCACTGTGTCATTCCTCAGGATATGAGGTCTCTAGCTTGTAAGCTTTCTTTCCATTTTTGAGAGTCTTCTTAGGTTTGATTTTAAAGTCTAATGTCTAGGGATTTTTAGTGCCCAAGGCATTTGACTGCTAACCAGAAGGCTGGGGTGCAAACCCACCAGCCACTTCTTGGAAGGAAGGTTGGGCAATCTACTTCTGTAGTGATACCGCCTTGTAAACCCAAGGAGAGGTTGCTGTGAGTCAGATCCAACTTGATGGCAGTGAGTTTGGTTTTTTTGTAGTGGAAGAAATAAGGAGAAGTGAGTCTACTGTATCTTGGTTTTTACTCTCTGAAGTTTTGATTGAATAATCTCACCTTACGGTAACCAAATGGGAAGCAAAGTATGACTTATTCATAACTAGACAAGTTCCCAAATCTTTCCACTCTCCTTCATGTAGGCCTTCTTTGCTGGTGCATTCAGGAGTGGGTATGACATACAGCTGGTTAAATACAATGAATAGAGGATTTTGATGGGAATTTGAGACTTATACCCTTTTCTTTCCCACTGGGTTTGGTGATATGTGAAGTGAGGTCTGGAACTGCTGTGGGTTTGGAGAATAAAACTTGTAGATACCTGGATGGCCACTGTACAGAGGCTGGCAATGGATTTAACCCAGAAAGCCAAGAGAGAGGGATTTCTAGCCATGGATCACAACAATTCTGAAGCCATATACCCTATACTGTTCAATTCCATGAGCCACTAATTGCTTTTTACATAAGCTACTTTGGGGCAATTTTTTTTGCTGCTTACAGCTGAGGAATTTAGTTTGACCCAGAAATTCTACTTTGAAGGATTTTTTTAACTTTGAAGTTTTGATTCTACAGAAACACAAGTAGAAGTTCAGAAAAATGTATATAAAGGAAACTACATTGGATTATTGTAGGATCTGAAAGTAGAAAGCAATGTAAAAGCCTATCACTAAGTTCTTTGCAAATATATACAGCTATTAAAAGATTAAATGACAGAGTGGGAGAGCAATGCAGAACAAAACTCAAAATCATAAAAAAAAAGACTAGGTTTGCTGGTCTGGTAGATTCTAATGAGACCCCTGAGACTATGGCCCCTAGCTACCTTTCAGGTCTGGAATTGAACTCACTTCTGTGGCTTCCAGTCAGTAATAGACAGGCATATGGGCTGAACATTTATATCAGGTAGATATACTCCTTGGAGCGATCTGTCATGGGAGAGCAGAAAGGCAGTGTATGCACAGGGAGACCACTTGGGGTGGGAGTGCATGGGAGGGAAGGACGCAGGGAAGAGGTAACTACAGGGAGGAAGTGGGAAGAAAACTGTTACATTGTGGGAAATTGCAGTCAGTGTCATGAGACACCATGTGTATGAACTGCTGTATGGAAAACAAATTTGCTCTGTAAACTTTGATCCAAATCACAATTAAAAAAAAAAAGGATTAAAGGATGGAGACATATATGAATGTATACTGGTGCAGGAGGGGCTCCAAAAAATTGTTATATGAAAAAAACAAGTTACTAGACAAATACACACCATTTATGCAAAACAACAAAACAACAACAAACAAACATTGCAAGAAAACTATGTAATATATGTGCATAAATATATATTGAAAACTCAAAAGGTCTGGGAGGCTACAGAGCAGATTATAAACGTGTTTTGTTTGGGAAGGGTTGGGATTGGGTAAGCCTAATAGAAGACTTTGGCTTTTTTATTTGGTAGTGTTTGCATCTTTTGAACACTGTGACTGTGCTTATGTGTTATTTTATAATTAAGAGCATAAAACATAAAAAAGTATGCATATACATTCATGATCCTTCTTTCTTATAAATTGGAACCCCTTAGTTAGAGCAAGAGTCAAAGAAAACCAAAACTTCTCATATGAATCAGTACTTTCGTATTAACTCAAAGGTCACTTTCTTGACTGTCCCAATGTTTTCCCACCAGTTCTGACCTTAGGGTTTTAGTGTGCTTTCAGTGCTTGATAAATCTTCAGGTGCTTACTACTTTCTTAGTAGTTCTGCTAGTCACTGTTTCTCTTAGTCTTCCTCCTGTGTCCTATCTCTTTTATTCCGAGTGTACAAAAGTGAGTTGCCTAATATAACTGTGATTATCTCTAGTTCTTCAGTCCACACATCACATCCTCCTCTCAATGACCATTTTCATGTTCTTCAATACTCAGTGAAATGGAATCTTGCAACATTTTGAAAATTTCAAGCAGCAAAAAGAAAATGGAAAAATAGAAAGGCTAAATAAAGGTTAACTACTCACCAGCCATTCCTCAGAATGAAGATTGGGCAATCTACTTCTTTAGTGACACTGTCTCGGAAACCTAAGGAGGAGGGGTCGCTATGAGTTGGATCCGACTCCATGTCAGTGAGGAGAAGTAAACCCACAAACCCACTGCCATCAAGTCGATTCTGACTCATAGCAACTCTTTAGGACAGTGTAGATGCCCCATAGGGTTTCCAAGTCTGTAAATATTTAAGGAGCAGACTGCCTCATCTTTATCCCATGGAGTGGCTGGTAGGTTCGAACTACCAAGCTTTTGGTTAGCAGCCAGGTGCTTTAACCACTGTACCACCAGAGCTCCTAAATAGAAGGTAAATGTCCCCATAAATATGAGAGTTCTATAGAAGATGTACTCTCTAAGACATAACTGATAATATCATTGACAGCTGTGTAATTTGATTAAAACTTTGTCTCATTAATTATAATAGCTGACATTTGAGTGCTTATTATGTCTAGCAGATAATGTACTAAATGCTTCAGATGAATTATCTTACTTGTCCTGCCTAACAACCCATGGGATAGGTATCACCATTTCTGTTTTACTGATGGAAGATTAGGGAGCTTGAATAATTTGTCCAAGGTAACACAACAGCAAATAGCAGAGTCAGTATTTGAACGTTGGTCTACTTTGGCTGCAACATTGGTACTATTATCCACTGTGCTCTATTGCCTCATGGCTAAATTTCAGTGCCAAACACAACCTATATTAACAAACTTTTTTTAAAAAAATTAATTTGGAACCTCTTAGTGTGGATAAATTAATTCCTTAATGATCCTTTAATAAAATGTTTTGCCATGGTAATCTTTGGTAGAGAACTTAATGGGAATTTATAGTCATGCAATTGTTATTTAATGTGAAACTCCACACTTTAAAAATCTCTTTTTTCCTTTTAAATAGCATCTCTATACCTTTGAGACAGACTTGCAAGTTGTCAGTTGCTCTGTCAACAGTGAGAGAACTTTGCTTGGTGAGTTGAACACTTTCTTTTACTGCTTCATGTCAAGAACTAAACTATATCTTTTAAGGGTTTCAAAATGTTGGAGTTTTGCAGTATTAGATAATTCTGTAATAGTGATTTTCTGGGAAGGAGATGTTCTTAGGGAATTAGGTTGGAAATAAAGAATCTGGAGGGTATACCTACAAAGAATTCTGCCTTAATTATTCACTGACAGATCCTTTGAGCCTTTCCTTATTCAGATATAAAATGGTAAACTTTAATGAGCCACCAAATAGATCAATTGCTGATGTTTTTGTCCTTTTTATTAGCTACAAGTTTAGTCCAGTCTACTAAAGAAGGAAGAAGGAATGAGCTTCAACCAGGTAATGAAATTATATCTTTTAGTGTCTATTGGCAGATAAAGATTCATTGGGCTATTAAGTCAAATTTCACAAATCTTTAGAAATAGCCTTATATTAGAATGAAAAGGCAAAGATCATGCCAAGTGTTAATAAGCCTGTTTTTTTCCTTAATTATTATTTTCAAGTAAACAGAAAATAATATTTTATATAACTTTTTCCTTATATGTCATTAAGTATTGACTAATACCTGTGTTTTCTTGATTGTGTGGATCATAACAAATTATGGGTAATATTGAAATGAATGGGAATTCTAGAACACTTAATTGCACTCATGAGGAACTTGTACATAGATTATGAGGCAGCCATTCAAACAGAACAAGGGTATATTACATGGTTTAAAATCAGGAAGGGCATGCATCAAGGTTGTATCCTTTCACCATACTTATTCAATCTGTATGCTGAGCAAATAATCTGAGAAGCTGGACTGTATGAAGAAGAAAATAACATCAGGATTGGAGGAAGACTCATTAATAACTTATGATATGCAGATGACACAAACTTGCTTGCTGAAAGTGAAGATGACTCGAAGCACTTACTGATGAAGATCAAAGACTACAGTCATCAGTATGGCTTACACCTTAACATAAAGAAAAAAAAAGTCCTCACAACTGGACCCATAAGCAACATCACAATAAATGGAGAAAAGACTGAAGTTGTCAAAGATTTCATTTTACTGGATTCCACATTTAACACCCATGGAAGCAGGAGTCAAGCAATCAATTGTATTACACTGGGAAAATCTGCTGCAAAAGACTTCTTTAAAGTATTGAAGGGCAAAGATATCACCTTGAAGACTAAGGGGGCACCTACCCAAAGCCATGGTATTTTCAATGCATATTTTCATTGCATATGCATGTGAAAACTGGGCAATGAATAAGAAAGACCACAGAAGAATTGATACCTTTGAATTGTGGTGTTGGCAAAGAATACTGAAAATACCATGAATTGCCAGAAGAATGAACAAATCCATCCTGAAAGAACTACAGCCAAGAATGCTCTTTAGAAGGGAGAACGGCCAGAGTTCTTCTCACATATGTTGGTCATGTTGCCAGAATGGATCAGTCCCTGGAAAAGGATATCATGTTCAGTAAAGTGGAGGGTCAGAGAAAAAGGGGAAGACCCTCAATGAGATGGATTGACACAGAGGCTACAACAATGGCTCAAGCACAGCAAGGACTGTGAGGATGGTGCAGGACTGGGCAGTGTTTCCTTCTGTTGTACATAGGGTCACTGTGAGTCAGAGCCAACTCAGTGGCACCTAACAACAGCAACAGCAAAACCTTATACATTATAAATAGTCCACCAATGAAAACAAGCTAAACCCTTGTCATCAAGTCAATTCTGACTATAGTGACTCTATAGGACAGAATAGAACTGTCCCTTAGGCTTTCCAAGGCTGTCATCTTTACAAGAGCAGAATACTACATCTTTCTCCCGGGGAGCGGCTAGTAGGTTTGAACTGCTGACTTTTCACTTAGCAGCTGAGTGCTTTAACCACACACCATTAGGACTCCTTAGTCCACCAATACTAAATAAAAATCAGTTACACAATTTGCCAAGGTCCATTGCATATTTATAAGTTATTATCTACGGATTGCCTTTTTTTGGGGGGGGGAGGGGTAAGCAGTTATCTGTCCATAAGTCAACAAGTACTGAGTTTAGGTCAGGCACTGTACGTCATGTTGGTGATACAATGATATGCAAGACAGTCAGGAGTGACTGTTGTCAGGGAGCTCATAGTCTAGATATGCATTGCAATCCCAAATGCATACAAGGGCCAGATAGATTGTGTGAATAAGTGAAGTGAACTGAGTATAAGAAAAATCAGGTGACCATGGGTTTTCCTCAGTTTTGACATAGAAGCTAAGAAATATTTGTTCTCTTTAATGAAAAAAAAAAAAAAGAGTTCAGGGCTCTAGGGTCTGTTGGTGGGATTGGGCATGCAGCACATCTTTGAAGGGGAGTCACTGCTGAGCTCTAACTTTTTATGCCACATGGAGATGTAGATGGCTCAGGAGAGCCAGCTTTTTTTATTTATCAAGAGAAGTCTGGACTTTTATATAAAAATCAAATTCAAATGTTGGCTCAAATATTTTAAAGAAAAGCATTTGCAGGCAATGATAACCACCTATGGACTGGAATCATCAGCCTATGGGCTACCATTTTTCAACCTCTGAACTAGTAGGTCTTTTGTTAGTGGATCTCACTTCAATGTCTTACTATTCTGATCCTGCAGCATTTTCTGTCTTTTCTGTTTCTTTGGCCCTTACATTCCTTCTTTTGTTAGCATAGCATAGTTCCTACTCAGATGGACTCTCCTGTGGTTGCATGTGATGGAAAAACCCTTCGTGCATACTTTCCACATGAGGCTTACAAGGCAGCCTTGGGCTTCTCCTGACACACACTTTCCCACAGAGCCAGCTTAGAGTGTCAAAGAAACCAAAGTGAAGTCTGGATGAGACCCTCTTGGGGGCCTTAGTAGTAGAGTTTATGGGAGATGTTGATAGGCAGGAGGTTTTCCCTGAAATCTTATCTTTTGTATTGCTAACCCTTACCCATGCTCCCACCAGTTATCCCTGAGGACCAACCACAACAGCTCCCTTCCCTCTTCTGTGCCATATTATTCTCTTACTATGACCCTTAGGGGAGCTCTGGTGGTGTAGTGTCTAAGGCATTTGACTGCTAATCGGAAGGCTGGTGGTTCAAATCCAGCAGCCACTCCTTGGAAGGAAGGTTGGGCAATCTACTGTAGTGATATCGCCTCAGAAACCCAAGGAGGGGTTGCTATGAGTTGGATCCTCAATGGCATGAGTTTTTTTTTGTATGCCCCTTAGCACTTTCTGCTCCTCTTTGAATTAGGTGCAATTCTCCCTTTAGTAATGATGGGACTGGATAAGTTTAAGTGAAATATGACCTAGGACATTGATGTGTTAACCCTGAAAACAAGGATATGGTCAAACAAAGGTATGGTCAGTTAGACGTCTATCTTCTGGACTAATATATCTCTTCTCCAAAGGGAAAGTCTAGTTGCTCGTTCCTTTTGTTGTATGTAGATGTATGCACAATCTTGGATCAGCTCTGTGTACCTCCCATTTCTTCCTGGGCCTTACTCCTTTTAGCCTTAGGAATTCTTTATTACTCTGGTGAACACAATCAATTCAATTGTATTCTGACACCGCTATAAATGGAGTACTTGTTTGTCCTTAAACACCAGAGTTAGGTCAGGTCTCACAAGTTAAAGGACACAGTCCTCCAGACTGCAAGTTTGTCTAAGACCTCAGATGCCAGTCACAAGCTTGAGGGTCCCCACAGCACCCTCACTTCTGACCTGCTGGCTTCGGAATATCAGCCATAATCTCAGGAAATGCTCAAGGTCCGTCTCCCCCCGCCACACACACACACACACTTCTGATCACTGGTTCTCACTACTACTTTGGGTTTGGTAATTCACTAGAATGACTCACAAAACTCAAAAATGGGCTGTACTTCTGACTAGTTTTATGATAACAAAAAGGATACAAATGAAGAGACACCTAGGGTGAGGGCTGGAAGTGTTTCCAGCTGAGCTTCCACGTCCCCAAAAATGTACTACCCTCACCCGGGCATCCATTTCTATCATCAGTCAAGAAACTCATGGAGATTCAGTGTTTAAAGTTTTTATATTGGAGTCTCAGTATATGGACATGGCTGATTTAATCATTGCCCGTGTGTTTGAATTTACCCTCCAGCCCACCTCCCCTGAGGTCCTGCTGATATCACAAGGTGGGTCTTTCAGGCTTAGCCAGCCATTACCTCGCAAGAATCACCTTATTAGCATAACCTGTTATGTGGGTGTGGTCTCGAGTTCTTCTGTGAATAACAAAGACTACAATCACTGGGGAAATTCCAATATTTTAGAGATTATCTTTCTGGAACCAAAGACAAAGACTAAATTCTTTGGAAAAGTTGTTTTGCACCCTTGAATCCATTCTGACTCCTAGCAACCCAGTAGGGCAGAGTAGAACTTACCCACATGATCTCCTAGGCTAAAATCTTCAGGAGAGTAGATTGACAGTTCTTTCATCCCTTTGAGCTGGTGGATTCAAATCACCTCTCTTTTGATTAGCAGCAAAGCACCTAGCTACAGCCCCACTAGGGCTTCTTTTGGATATATCACAGCTTTGCGTATTCTTAGTTCACCTTTTAAGCCAACGACTGCTGTGAGAACAAACTCTGTCTAGGTGTAATTTGGCAGTGGGTTACCTCAGTTGTTTTGCCAATTTCTTGCTTTCTGCCCAGAGCCCTTGGGAAAATCTTTTTACCACTCACAGGTGCACAACTTGGAAGTGTGGTTGGAAGTAATATCCAATAGGACAGCCCATGGCCAATGGGGGGCAAGTTGCTGCCTCTTTTCATCCCTAAAGTGAATAATTCTGAGGTTCATTCCACACAGCTCAAGATCCATGGTGGTTACCAGCTTGATAATGCCCTATATACTAGCTTGCTCTTTTTTCCAGGTTCACCTTCCTCTGTCCCTCCTATCAGCATCAGTGGCTAGAGTTATCCTGTTTCCTAAGATCACTTCTTGTCTTAGTTTGCATTTCCCCTGTAAGTAGAATTTGAGACAGATTTGAATGCAGTTGGTTTAGTTGTAAGGTGAGACTGTTTAAACAGAGATCTGAAAGAAAGGAAGGAGCAAGCATATGGCTATTACCAACCACACTCACTGCTATCTAGTTGGATCCAACTCATAGCGACCCCTCCTTGGGTTTCCAAGGCAGACTCACTATGGAAGTAGATTGCCAAACCTTCCTTCCAAGGTGTGGCTGGTGGGTTTGAACCTCCAGCCTTCTGGTTAGCAGTCAAATGCCTTAGGCACTATGCCACCAGACCTCCTGGGACAACACATTTCTGGCAGAGCAAACAGCCAGCACAGAGGTCCTGAGGTCATAGTATATTTGGTAGATTCCCCATGCAAGACA